TGGTGGCCAGAACGACTCCAGACTTCAGCTCCATCGAGCACGTTTGGGACATTTCAGGACACCGTGTACGTCAGAGGTTTCCCCAGGTACGATTTGGAACAGGATGGTCACCAGAATTGGATTTGACAGCCTCAAAGAGAGATGCAGAGTCTGGTGCAGTCCATTGAAATTGACTTTTTACAATACAAATTGCATCAATTGGTAGAATTGCGTTTCCATAATACGCAATGGAATATTACTGTCCATACGAAAACAATGTGTTGTAAAACTTTTTCCAGGTGTATGTTTTCTCCGACGTTCCATGCAAAGGATCCCTTGATATGTTGGTAGACAAATTTAGAAATATTTTTGTTGGTGCCTGGGCAATGAATGTCTTAATATCATAGATCTACTATTTGCGACACAAATGTTGTTTAAAATGATTTGCAAATAGAGTGTCACTTGAAGACATACTGTATAAAGAAGGGTTAAAACATGTCCCCCAACTTTACTGAACGTATCTGAATTATGTTCGGAAATGTGTTCTTGTTTTTTTATGACTGAAATCCAAAACTATATGCAGCTTCAGTCCTGTCTAAATATAGCGCGTTCCTTACACTGTCCTCGTCATTATCATGTTTGTCTGTTCAACATATTTACTAACCTGGCACCGAGCTAGTGATAGGTCTCGGGGTCAAAATCACACCGTGAGGCAAATTTGATTACATGCATGTAAACGCAAACGACCCTTCCCACAATAATAAGGGGTCTTTGTCAAAAGTCAGAGTCAAATAAACGAATCCGACCATATCATAACTTTACGAACACATACAAAGGCAAGTCTATTGTTCTTCCAGAAATCTAATGATAAAAGTCAGGATAGAATATTGCACCAAATGTTGAACATAAATAGCCAAATATATGTAAGTTCATGCCTTTTACAAATCCGTGCCGCCTATGGTCAGCAAATACATTTGGTCAAATCTAAGTGGTTGTCGAAAAGGAAGATAATATAAAAAGGTATGGATGGCTCGGAATAATATACTGAACCGCAAAACAAAGGCGAGCTTACAAAACCCAATGCAAAGTTTTGTTTTTACAAGGTGGTGCTTTTATTACGATTGTACCGTTTTGTTAACATGTTTTTCAATCCAAATTGACAGTTATTGCCAGCATCAGTGTGTTTTCTGATGAAAGAACCATATCGACCAAACGAATAAAAAAAGACGTGGTACAAGGTTCCGTATGACATTCGTGAAAAAGAAAATGCACGTGCATATCGTGACAACCCTACCAATGAAAGCGAATCCCAAACTCGCCCATACCACGACTTACGAGATATCAGAGGAACCAAGCCTTGGGACGATTGCAAGTTGGCCAGATTGCACGGAGGGTAGCCAATCATTTTAATGTTCATGTTAGGACAATCTACCAACTGGAGGAACGGTATCAGGCCACCAACAGCATCCAAGACCGTCCAGGCAGTGGACGACCTGCAGTAACATCACAACTTCAAGACCGACAGATTGTGTGCAACCATATGCAGGATCGCTTCACCAGAGCCACGGAAACAGCTCGCCAGACCATTGGGACTCACAAGAAACCCATTAGTGCCCATACAGTACGTCGACGTTTGAGCGAAAGAAACTTCTGCTGTCACAGACCATATCGTGGTCCTGTCCTCACCGCTCGTTACCGCCAAAACCGACTGCAATGGGCTACTCAGCATCGCAATTGGCGTTATCGACAATGGAGAACAGCGCTTTTTTCTGACGAAAGCCGATATTGTGTTTCAACAGCCGATGGCAGAGTGAGAGTACAGCGAAGGAACGGTTTTCCAATGAGTGTATTGTTGAAAGAGACTCGTGGGGTGGTCCAAGCATCATGATGTGGGGTGCAATCGGTCTATACCAGAGAGTTGGACCCGTGGTGTTCCAGAATCCCGGTCCAGGACGAGGAAAAGGCGTGATAGCTGCTCGCTATACTGACCAAGTCATACGACCCCCACGTTGTACCACATTTTGACCGTCACAGAAATCACATCTTCCAGCAAGACAACGCTCGTGCCAACACTGCCAGAGCAACACTGGACTTCCTAAGACAACATGGCATCCAAGCCCTACAATGGCCTGCACTCAGTCCGGATTTAAGTCCAATAGAACACCTTTGGGAAGAGATTCAAAGAAGACAGGATGACCTCCAACCAAAGCCGACAACTGCTACTTGTCTTGATCAGGCATTTCGCAGAGTATGGACCTAAGTGCCTATGGCCTTCATCAACCGGCTAATTCATTCCATCTACACACGACGCAACGCCGTCATCGATGCCCTTGGAGGCCACACACGATACTGACTTTGAGGTATCTTAGTGGTTGGTACCATTTGGGGAATTTGTTTGTGTGAACTCTAAATGTTTGTGTGAACTCAGTAATGTGTTAACCATAATTGTCAAGTTTGAAGGCAACCCTCCGTTTTGATTGTTAATTAGAGCGAATTAAAGTGTGTAGTTTAAGAAACCTCTATCGGTGTGGCGTTTCTTTTTCGGCTCAGTATATGATCGCCTATTGCCCTTCGGACCACGTGAGCTAAACCTTGGCACACTAATACACCTAGCGGGTAAACATGAATATACCATATCTGTTCACGGGAGGAGTTTAGAGGGACTGATCAAAACAGTTTTCCAAAAACAGTTCGTCCGTTTTAGCTCTATCTCGAGTGGGTGAGTTGCTGCATTAGGGTGGCCCAGTGCGTGGGTGAGTGGGGATTCTTAACAGCAGCAGCAACCATCAGGTCATTCTCTTCCCACAGAGGTTACTTGTCATATCTTCCTACGAACCTCTTTTCTAATACGGCCATATTTCCCGGTTCTCGTAAAATCCCCTAGCGGCAAAAGATCGCAACACGAATTATCTCCCTTCTTTCTATCCAATCAGAACACGTGTTACATCGATTCAACTTGACTAACACAAGCAAATGTGGGGCCACAAATATCCCCCATCTGCCGGGGACTTGTGTTGATGTTACACACAAGACGTTTAATGGCTAGCTCGTCCGTTGTCAACGAGGGCGATGGAGACGCCACTGATCCGCCATAACATGACTGAGTTCTGTCTAGAAGAAACGTTTGCGCATCGCGCAGGGGAAGAGGTTTAGTTTTCTCGAAGCATACGGAAATTACCGAGGCCTTGCGAATGATCACTTTTGAAACAACGTCGCTGATTGCACAACTAAATCTGATTGCCTCCAATCACGAGTCTTGAACGTTCACACCATGAAAGGGCCGTATTAGAACAGAGGTTACGTATGAAGATATGACAGGAGTAACCTCTGTGGGAAGAGAATGCCATCAGGTATGGGCATCATGTTTTTGTATGTGTTTCACGTAGCCACCGAATTCTGAACATGGGTCGATCGTTCGGGGGGGTCGGGGGGAATAAAAAACACAAAATTATCTGAATAATATTCTTCTTCTCATTTATTGTAATTCTTGTTACAATTTCTCGCGTTCATTGGACGAATCTAGTGGGTGCGCCAGGCATATTACACTTGATGTTATGTAATGTTAGTGGAAACCTGAATGTCAGAATCGTCAGATTTCCTTTACTTCTAAAACGTAAAAAGAACTGTCAGCCAAATATTATGCAACTGACGTTGACGTCAATTGCGGGAGACAATTTGGATCCAGGAACTCCACCAACGTTGGCATGAGTGTGTGGACCTCGGAGGGGATATGTCGAAAAATAATTGGGAACCAATGCCATGAACCCAGCTTATCACAGTTAGGCTTAGCCGCTACTGTAAGAGATTTACAGTAGGTTCTCCTATGGTACTCTTTATTTGGCATTAGGTGAATAATGCCATTGGTTTCTGAGTCGCTTTGAATCGTGTAGGGCATCATTTTTTTATGTGTTTCACGTAGACACCAAATTCTAAACATGGGTCGATAGGGCGGAAAACAACTTAACAAAGACAAAATTATCTGAATAATGTTCTTGATTCTCATTAATTGTAATTCTTATTACAATTTCTCGCGTTCTTTGGACTTGTTGCAGCGACTGATCTTATATGACGAGGCGGTACGTTTTAGGTCCGAGTCCGCTGTGTTGGAATGTAAAAAATAGTTGGGGGTGGGGAAGTGGTTCGGCAATAAAATTAGAAGGGTTGGTAAGACGATGAGAAACACAGGAAATGCCCTATGTGGTAACGAATATTTAGCATTACTGAATGGAGCACTCATAAAATATACTTGAAGTGTTTGTTAGAGTGACCTCCCTTGGTAGTGTTGATAAACGCCATATATATCTCTGCTTTGTGTGGCTGATACTTCCAGATTGCCTGTCCCAACTGTGTGCATCAACCAGTGCGGACTGGATAACCTTCGGAAAACAAGGACTTTCCCTCTTCTCTCAAACACTGTTTTACAGACCGCCGTCATATAACTGGAATATTGCTGAGTGCGGCGTTAAACAACAACCCAGATGCCTCACAAAATGTAATCAACTGTTACAAACACTAAACAGCCTTATATTTTGACTGTTATGGTTGGCTTTTGTGATAGTAAACCTTAGCCTGAGTATTCCAACATACTTTTGTTGACCAGGTGTTTATTGACCAGGCGTCACAATCTAGTTCAGAACGTGCCGGCTTCTGGGTTACCGCAACCGGTTCAGTTTTTGATTGAATCAATCAATCAATCAATCAATCAATCAAAAAATCAATCAATCAATGCTTTTCGCAAACACCCAGCTATTCGCGTCGAGTTCAGTTTTTGAATCAACCTATACAATGGTTTACATCACTTGCTGAAGCACCGATCCACAATTTGTATGGTTTGATGATACTTTATACGGCGTGATATTGGCATTTGGGTTCAACTGAGGCACAACTTGTGTCACATAGACGTTTATGGTGTTTTTAAGATTTCAGCTAGTGGATGAGGTAGATTTGAGTTGGAGTTGAAAGTTGCGTTCAAGATTATTGCAATTATATCCTAAAGTGGACAAGAAAATACAAACTTCCCATAACAGTGAATATAGGTTTATTGAATAAATATCCATTTTTGACTTTGCTATTGTACTTACTTTATACAGAGAAAATGTCACAAGACACTTAATCATGTGTATGCTGTCGTGAGGGCCGGACATGTATTCTTTACCAAGTGACATATCCACATTCAGGGCCATGCTGTCTCGACCAATGGCCCGGAGGTGGATTTATGGTCATCTGGGTAAAGTTAACTCACTGCTAATAGCAGAAACAAGATATCCAACGAAACATGTCACAGTACTAGATACAAACAGGAGACATGTAGCTAATACAACTAGCTTGATAAAGGTATGTGCTACACTGCCATGAATCATCATGGAATCCACTGAATTTATTCACATATTTAGTGAAGACACTCTCGAGTTTCCATAATGATTACTATAACTGTAATCGATTTTAATCGCCTACGATATATCACATTGTTGCGTAAAGCACATGGCGTTACATACACAACAACTCATCACGTTTCAGACAATTACTGTGTCACATAGTAAACTCATAATCCGGGAAAGACTAAAGCATGTTTATCAGAATCACACATTCATCTACACTGTACGAAGACAGGAGGTCTTCTTCAAAAGGGTAAATCACTTGTCTTCAGGATGAAGCTTACACTGAAGCAGGTGCTGTATTAAATACCTTAAAACAAAAGATTGCTTTGAATGTTTTTCTGAACTTCCTGCTGAAGAAGGAATAGAGGTAGAAATTGATGGAGGCATTAATCTGAACAAGAAAGTTGCAGATGTTGCCCGCTATCTTAACATCATTAACAGGCACCTTGATTCCATGATCATCCAGGTATGACCGATACAACAGCAGTACTGTCCAAGGAAGCTGGCACAACAGGAAAATAATGACAATTGTCACCAACATCAGCGTGACCTTATTTTCTTCACGAGTGGACTTGACATTCATTTTATTCACGCTACTCTGAACCATCAACTGCCGCTTCTTCTTTGCTTTCAACAAAGATCGGATGAGGAGAGTGTTGAAGATGATGAGGAACACAAAAGGCACAAGCGTAAAGATGGTGACATACCACCAGTTGAAGCCAATTTGGTAGCTCTTCTCTTTCGTCATAGCCGTATAACGACACTTCCAACCCCCGGAATCTTTAGGTACTATTTCCAGTTCAAACATTTCCGGGAGCGTGTTCACAGCACAAAACAGCATTGCCAGGAACGAGTACAATCTGGCCCTTCCTTCAGTACACCATACCTTTCCTTTCATGGGCAAACACACAGCCACGTATCTCTCAATTGTAAATATCACAGTAATCCACACTGCGAAGTTTCCAGCAACATCTGTTATCACTCGTCCATATGGAATAAACTGTAGGGACCATCGTGGCTGGTTCTGATCCGAGCAATGGATGAAGGACAATGTAAACATGAAGATGAGGTAAATGGTATCGGCAAATCCCAAAGCCATGAGGTATATGTTTGTCGAGTTCCTCATAGAAGGATGGGACAACACTGCAATATTCAGAATATTGCCCAAAAGACCAATGGTAACTATCACTGGAACTAACACTTTCTGAACGACAAACCTTGTAATTCTAAGAGAGTCCGATACCGATGCAGTAGCTCCCTCTACATCACTGCCGTTTAGGAGGGAGGTTAGAGTCGAGATCACAAACAGGGGATCTGTATTGTTTTCATTGGAGCTGATGACGTAAATGGACTGCTGTCCATAGACAGTCATGGAGGAATTGTGCTCAAGCGACATCCCAAACTTGACAGACTGCCCTCAGTGCTTCAGATGCCACATCCTCCCATGTCCTCTATACCTGAAAGGAAATACATTTATTTCATTAATCTATGATGATTGAATATAAATAAGTAATACATCTTTCATTTACTCGCGATGTGTTTCTCAAGAAATCTTTTGTACAAAACCTTGACAGATGTAAACCTGACAACAAATACCAAATTGTTAATAGTTGTCGTTCGTTGTCTTTACATTACACTAGTGTGATTCAGTCTTGAACATCACAGGTTCTATGTAAAAGAAATGGCGATCTCAGATAACCAAGTCATCTGCACGAAGAAAGAGAAATATTATGTTTTATAATAACTTAATGTCAATCAGCCTCGTATCCACCCCAACACGCATAAAGAAAGTTATTGATTGTTCGACGGTTTTGATGACTGAAATATACTGGTGACGTCTTAGTGCTTAATAGCTAAACGTCAGTCGTTAGTTGATCAATAGCAGAAGCTTCTTTGTAATTACAATCACGTCAATCACACAGATGTTGGTCAGCAAAGATCAATTTGTTGGCCATGCCTGGGTGATTGGCGCACAGTTAATGTTTGAAATCAAAGCATTACTGCAGAGATTGCTCCTTGCTTCCCCGCGATTGCCAATGAAACTACGTCGTGATGATTCCAGCACATCTCCAGGGAGAGTCAGCTATCCTTCGCATTGAACGGATGAGAAGATAGAAAGTCAGGTGGTTAGTTTAAGTAAACTTTGGGGACTTAGGAGCATGAGTATCGAGCACACAGGAACCCGGTCGTAACGTTTTTAGTCTCGCTGGAGTTGAGTATTTTCAATACTTGCAACGAATCCTTTGATGATCGACCTTGCCAGTCATGAGAGAATGCGTACGGGACGGGATATAGCAAGCCACTGAACACTAAATATCACGTTATGGCTCTTGTATATACTGCTTATCCCAAAATGTTCCTGTCCTAATGTAAAGAGATGGTTATTTTTTATCCATTTTACTGAATAGCCACAGCTTCTAGTCACTTGTTATTTAAAAGAACAGGTATTGATTCTGCCTGATGCCCAACATATATCTGATTGTACAGAACATATCTGGTTTGGGTTTTCTGCTGATATACACAACTATGTAAGCATAGTTGTTCAATATGAGATGAAACAGAAAGACATAGTGTAAAAAATTAGTGAATTTAGTTTTACGCCGCACTCAGCAATAGTCCAGCTATTAGGCGTCGGTCTGTAAATATTCGGATCTGGACCAGGTAATCCAGGGGTCAGCTAGTGTAGAAAATAGAAAGTAGGTTTGATAAGAAAAGTATGTATATTTCTGAGTCGAAGAGCGTGAAACTCACCGTAAGCTGTTTTGTAAAATATATAAATGTTTTTCATAGATTTGTATTCTAAGGGGAGTGATTGTTGTCCAAGAACATGTTTGTCCTTTACAGGACACTTTCACTGCTATTCAGTGATCTGTTCATATTTATCTATGTAAAATAATACATCGACCACATTTTGTTCATAATATACATATTGCTGATAACGAGATCAAAGGTTTGCGCTGTCGACAAAAGTTATGAAAACTTTACTGTGTGAATATATGATGTTAAGAAACAGACTAACCAGTCTCGATTATCCATCGGTTATTTAGGGCGTAAACGGCAAAATACGATGAAAGCTATATGAATGATATATGAAAATCAGTGATGGATGCTGGTGTTCGCGAGCGGATTGAGGAGGTCCTGCCCCGCACCCTACACTCACACAATTTACAATGGTGAAATGGGTGGGTTATCTGGAACAAAGAATAGAAATTGTCCCTTCTATGTAAAAGTTGTATCGCTGTGAACACAGTGAACTTTGTATGCAAATATATTGTGTAAGTTGACAATACCTTGGGAACGTACAATTATAACTATTGAAATATGCTACGGCTGGTCAGTGTCAATGTTGTGCCTGCAGATTTGAAAATCTAACAGACAGACTTGTTTGTATTGATAAGGAGACATAGGTCAGAAAACTGAATGAAATACAGTAATTAATGTAAATGAATATATTATCCTTTTTTTAAATTGAGTGGGAGTTTTGGCATTTTGTTTGTAATATAACGGGTAGGTCGCAACGAATAAATCTTACATTATTAAACGTGACAAAAGCAAAAACTCGTTTATGTAAATAAGGTAATCCTCTTGTGTTGATGTTAAAGACGAAGCGCGTTCCCTGTGAACGCAGTCGTTATTCGTACGAAGAACATATCTTTTGAACCATGCCTCATCCTGCTTAATACAAAAGTCTAATTCCACACATCTTTGTGGATGAAATATTCTTCAAACTACACAAGAAGTGACTTCAGGGAAAGTTTCTCTTGCATATGTTTACAAAAACAATACATTTACGTTATCAATAGTAATATTAATGCAATTAATAAATGCACTTGTAGAGCACATCTTTCACAAGCAGTGTGATCAGTGTGCTTAGCCATGCTTCTTGGTGGCGTTCCGTTATCAGCAGATCTTCAAGACTGCATCATCTGCATGCATAAAGATAGCCTAGCTGAACTTCGAAACGAAATCAATGTCATTAACATACATGTGTAGATGTAGATGTCAGGAAGACGTCCGTTCCTTTATTAATGTGCCACGTCCTCTTTGTTTATAGCCAACAGCCTACTTTAATTGCATAGAAAATGTAACCTTCATAGACAGTGGGTGTCTTTGTAGCTAATATATCGAGAGCGCTTGACAGGCAAGATGTATCTCAGGTCAACCTCTGACGATCTATTGGTACAATTACAAATAGCAAGTCTTTGCTTTATCACCCCACCGGCGTTATTACATGTGAAACGAGAAAACATACATAGGTCAGTCTCTGTTTATGACAATTCTGTCGGATTCCTGTTTTAGGTCGACCTCTAAAAGCAGAGACTTTTAAATAACCGGAGAATTGTTCTTCATATTGTATTTTATTATTCCCTTGGAAAGTTATTCACTGCTTGTTTGTGCAGGAATATCAAATGATCGAACAAATAGAGTTGTCCTTTGTTTAAGCATGTACCCCCCTGAACCTCAGAGTACAGTTATTCTAGTTCAATATTGATCAGTAACATTCTAATAGGACATTCACCTACTCCCAACACATACGTGTGATAACGTTTACTTATAACAATGAAAGTCACACTAACAACGACGGTCATCAGCTTCAACTATATTCTGAGTAAATAATCACGTCTTTAAGCAGTTGTGGGTCATTCACATGGCATGCATAAAGGGGATGTTTTGGATTTATGTCCATTAATGTTACATTACGTTTCCAAATATAAAGATCGATTAAACTTCCCCAGTCCATGTTACACTTGACGGAATAAGATTGATCAACGCTCAACATGCAGCTCCCTCATATAGAGGGTTCAAGTGGGCAATGAGTGGGACGTAATAATGCTTTCGACTTCTGAAATGTCGTAAAGACCAGACCATTAACCACGCACTAAACAACGTCTCAAGTGGTTGGTATAGCGTTTCCATCTGAACTCACTTTTCTCCACTATGTGACCTTAAGTTGAATATAAACCAAAGAAATTGCTACATCCATTAAAAGATTACTTCTTTTCAAAAGTCAATTTACACGATTGCGCTAGGTCGTCAGACGGCGCATTTCATTTCACCTCGTTGCAGCAGTTCAGCCTGATCAAAGACAACAACCTGAGCTTGAAACATATTTCCTAGGTGCAATTTAGAGTGACAATTTATCGTTAATTGCTTCAAAAGCAATCAATACTCACGAAGTAGGCATGATTTAACTAAGGCCAAAGACGCTGACATATAGACAAGAGCTGGAGTGCTGAACAAACTGATCCGTACATGCCCAGTACAGGATTCCAGTACAATCCCTCCCTCAGCGCAGCCAGTGCGTCTAGTCAGGAAATAAATCACATTTCTTAAAGGTCTTTATGCAGGTATTTGATAGTTCAGTTTAATCACCAAATGTTTTTACAAACCAACTTAAGGGTTAACACTAAGACAGAGATACCATTTATAAGTGAAGGTAAAGATTACACTTGTCAGAGGGGTACACAAAGTGCGCTATCTTCACTACCAGTTGTCAGACTCTCATTAATGTCGAAGCTGAGCTGGCTAAGTGGGTTAGATCTGTGCTTTACTGTGACAGTGTAATCCCAAATATAACATATCATACAATATATGAGTATGAAATATGTATCAAACACTGTATTGGAGTAAGAAACACTTACTCTCTCATGCATACAATGTTTCGGGGTTATGTTTGGCACCTTCATCAGGAGGATGAAGGTTTAAAAAATTAAAACTTGAAACGTTGCGTATTTATATGAAAAATGTTATTATCCGTTCTAGTGCCATGTTTGATCCTTATAAACTGTCTGTGTGCTTGTCGTTGACCCACAAGCTGGTTTTTGAAAAACAGTTGACTTAGAATAAGAAAGGATTATGTTTTTAATTACTTGAATCAAACTTCCAAGGAAAGTGTTCCAAGCCAACCACTACCATCCAAACCCCATCACTAACGATCACTGAAGATGGCGTATATGGACATTATGAAATTCTCCCTTAATAGCGAACTCCTTACTCAAACGGAAGCCTTATGCCTGGTTCACATTTGCCCTCTGATGGGTCTAGACTGCCCGAAGCTCCATTTCCGTGCAGTCGCCGTGCGGCGTCAGGGGATGGCCGTACGATTATCGCAAGATTCTACGGGCGCCGTAGCCTCTACGGTTTTGTCAAACAGCGAACAATGCCTAAAATGTCGTACGAAAAATCGTATACTACTTTATCGTACGGCGCCAGTGGCACATGTGATCGAGGTCTTAAGCAGACTCAAGATCACCAGTTCCATGTGATTACAATAAGTAGACTCAAGATCATCAGTTCCATATTGTGATTACAATAAGTAGACTCAAGATCATCAGTTCCATGTGATTACAATAAGCAGACTCAAGATCATCAGTTCCATGTGATTACAATAAGTAGACTCAAGATCATCAGTTCCATGTGATTACAATAAGTAGACTCAAGATCATCAGTT